GTCAGCTAAACTCATATCATTGTGGGAAAAATCTACTACCAGTCCTTCATCACCTTACACGAAATAGGGTCAATACATCTCATTTCTTGAATTCAATCCGGCTGCTTGGATAATCGTTCTCTATCCCTTTCGTTAAGATCACATTTTGGACTTTTTACGTCTCATTCATTATTTATGTCCCAAATTCGGGTTTTCAATTATTTTTTCTCATGCCCTAGCCACTAAGGAAGATACCAGCTTGATTCATCCTGGCATTCATGCCTCCGAATTTCATGCAAAATTTCACTTCATTTTAATTCTCACTTGTATTCTTTACTAAAAAAGCAAAGATGGCAAAGAGCATTTAATCATATTTTACATAAATACAATTTCGCTCTGCACAAACTAATTACTTTGGCGCAAGTAAAGGCCAAGTGGATAGAAATTTGATATCTCGGATTACTCGTGTTCGTCCAAAACCTGATAGTCTGATCAATCGTGTGTACTTGAAGAGGATACTTGCCTTTTGCAAAATCATACGACTAGCCCACCTCAAAAGTGCTTCTTATCCAGTATTGGTTTTGATATTCACCTAATCTTTTTAGCATCTGAGTTTCAAGGAAAAATCTAACTTGAACTATCAGAATCCAAGCTAATAATATAGGCCTATATACACCTTAAGTTTTCTACTATTTCACAAATGATAAGAGTAGTTGTCAAAACTGTCAGGGAAGTTATGATATCAGCAAAGTATAATATACAGTTTTTTTATGCTAATATGAACTAGGTCTGTACTTATAATTATATGGATAAAGTAGAAATATATTTTCACTGATATGCAAAATTTTTTTCCTGTCCTTATCACCCGACTTAACACCTAGGCCTATAAAGTATCTTCACTAAATCATGTGTATGGGCATGTATATGGATTCTCCTCTAATATATGTAAAATTTAGCTCAAAATTGCGCCCCAAGCTAAAATCGGGCCTGAACTCACGTGATAGAGACAAACATTTCAACCGCATAGAAGCAGTCATAGAGCCAGTTGAACGGGCCTCAAGGCCTTATTCATTCTGGACGTTGATGATACAGGGGCATCACACTCGCACCACGGATGCAAGTCCTAACGCACCTGAAAGTGAAACCCTGGTGAAGTGGGAACAAAAATGGGCCCGAGTAGAGGATACAACATCGAGATACAAGTCGAAGAAGCAGGTCGGCTTCAACTGATTCCGGATAGATAGTCATTTAACGTGCGTCCTCTCTAATAAAAAATAGATTTCTAGAAGATGTTATACTCCTTCAGCGAAGGAGTTGATTATTGCCAAAATTTATGGCCAAATAAAATAATAAATAATTACGTAAACTGTTATAACAATAATTTGGAACGTTCCCGACTTCGGTTACCCTCGAAGCCAGGCATCTATTTCATTCTCAACGAAACTTCTGGTGCTAGAAGCAGTCGACTATCAGGTTTTGAAGAGGCACAGGAAGCTAATTACCACTAAGTTTTGAGTTCTCCAAGGCCTTTGTTGAAACGAAAATTTATTAAAGACGTGTAAAGCAGATTTTCCAGCAGGAAAATAACAGCAGCAGCCTGAGTTACGTGTCTGCTTATCAATAAAATGGCTACCATTGAATACGAGGAGGCATTATGAGCCTTGGTGAGATTAGTTTTGATCCATACTATATGCAAAGTTGCTGATGTGCTTGAAATGCCACATTTGTTATCTTCTCTGCTCTTGGAGAAACACTAGGCTGCGAGTTGGTCTTTAGTCTACATGCCTACGGAGCAGGTCACTGTTTCTGCAACAACTCATGCCATCGCCAGACGTAGCCTGAAATTACAAGATGCTTATATAGTCATAAAGATTGGGTAGCGATACTACCGATCGAGTTTTAAGTAGGACTATAGACACCCTAGGTCGCATAAGGTGATAATTGACTGAAATAGGAATTTTTCCACAATGCTATGAGCAAGCCTCAGGATGCATCAAAGTGTTGAGGACCAAAATATGTATCTTGCAAATATTC